CATGAGATAATGGAAAAAATAATAAGAACTAATATCCCGTTTACTCCAGAGATACTGTTATTGAATATATTTCCGAAAGACTTTGATAAAGCAGATAGGTATTTGATAGTTCATATGTCGACAGCTGTAAAGGATAGTATATGCCAAATATTGGAAAATAATGGAAATACCAACGAAACAAGAGTATGTGAACAAGTTATTTGAAACAGCGGAAAATGACAAACTGACACTTGAGATGAGAGCCGGCACAGAGTGGACTTTTCAAAAAACTTGGAAGAGATTCTATGATTGGTATAATGTAAATGCAACTGATAGATAAAGATAAGTTTAGTAAAATAGATAATGAATTTAGAAATTTTGTAAGCAGGAGGAGTGATAAAAGTCTCTTGCTATATGTTGTTAGCAGTTGTGTGTTGTTTGTATGTATGTATGTAGTATACAATGGAAAAATAATAAAAGCGTAACTGGCTTTCGAGCAAGGGAACCTTTACCTTTACCCTCGGGTACTTCTTAAAAAAAAAAAAAGGAATAGCTGGGATTTATCCCATTGGTCGAGGAGAGATATGGAACAATAGACACTTTAACCAGTGGAAATCAGATTCAGTGCTGTCTGATCTCCCATACCATAAACATTTAGGAATAATTTTCTAAGGAAAAGGATAGTAGTTTCAGAAATTGATGCTTCACTTATAGGTTGCCTTCTCACTATCTATGCTTCAAGCCCAAGAGTTTCCTAAATACTTCATCCCACAGATCAGCCTTTTCTGGATGAAAATTGGAGACACGCTTCAGTCCATACAGTAAAATTTATACTTGATCAACTCCATGAATGAGTGGCAGGCCCCTTTCTTGTGTCTCTGTGACAGATCAGTTAATATTACCCACCCCCATGCGTCTCCTTCCTCTTTGAGAACCATTGGCGCTTCCACAAACCCTAAATAATGCCCTTTCAATCCACTTTCAGTGCACTTTGCAATGGGATTTTACTGTGTGAAATGGCAAAATCCACTTGCGAACAGTCACTAAAGTAGATTGAAACCACATTATTCAGCATGTGTGAAAGCGCTGAGGCTCAGGGATGGGGCTGTACTTTGCATTTCATGATGGGCCTTCTGGGATTTCTCCGTGCCCCGAGCTGCATCACAGAATCCCAGTGTGTCCATTCTGTGTCTCAGAACAATGTTAACTGCTCGTGTTGGGAATGGGGGGAATAAATGCTGCACCGGATCGTGAACAGGAATAGGTTGGTGTGTACATCGAATGCAGTGGCATAATTTTTAAGTCCTACTTTAGCCTTTCAGCCTTATTGTATCCAAGTGCTTCTGGGCACACCATTTAGGAATGGCTGGGTTAAAATAACCACTCCCTGGGCCCTTCCTAGCTTTGGGTTCAGTGATTCTAGCTAAGCCAAGTGCTGAAGATTTCTCCCTCTCCTCCTCTCCTCTCTCTTTTTAGGGTTCCGCTCCCGTTCATCCTTCAAGCTCATCCAGCTGAACCGCAAATTCCAATTCCTCCAAAAGTCAAGGGCTCTCTTGGATCTCTGTGCTGCTCCCGGAGGATGGTCAGTGAGAAGCGTGGGGAGAACGGGGGATGCTTTCCAGAGGGGTAGCCGTGTTGCAGCAAAATACAACAGATGCCCAGTAGCGTGGGGGGGGGGGAATAATGACAAGTGAGCCTCTGACTCACGAAAGCGTGTGCTGGATTAAATGTCGTTCGCCGTTAAGGTGCTGCTGGACTCCTGTTTTATTTTTAAAGGGGCAGTGCAGTCTTGTTGCACACTGAAGGTAGTAAACGTGGGACTGCGTGCTGTTTTCCAGCAGTGGGGCAAGGGGAGTTTGGAATCTCAACAAACATCTTCTTCTTACTTGAGAAACTCTTTGATTGATACTAGATCAGGGATCCATAATTGCAGGTGGCCGACAGTGACCGTGGATCCCTTTAGTTAGATCGCCACCTGCCCTTAAAAAGCCCTGATGAGTGGCAGGAGTCTGTCTCTTTGCACTGGGCAGGGGGGATGGTCCCTGCCCTCCCCCAGGTCCTATGCGTGTCTCAAGAAATTCTGGGGAAGTGTAGGGTTGCACTCACTCCACACTGGGCTCTTGGTGCAACAGGAAGCACGGAGGATTCCTTCACCTGCACATCCTCAAATGTGGTATACTCTACCGTGCCCTTCGGCCAGCAGTGCCCTCCTGCCGTGTTCATTGGTCAAACTGGACAGTCTCTGCGCAAGAGGATAGATGGGCAGAGAGAATAAAGGTGAATGGGGAATAAAGAGAAACATGCAGAAACCAGTAGGGGAGGATTTCAACCTTCCTGGATGTTGAGTAATAAAATTACGTCATGATCATAAACAGGGTTACCCCCTTCCAGGTCCATTGATTGCTCTGAAATTTGAACGGGGTTAGGGTTGCCTTGTTACATCAGCCGCGGAGTCTCAGAGGGAGAATCCAGCGAGAAGCTGCTGAGTAGGAACCGGTATGCAGACCTAATACTGCCAGTTGGGGGTTGCGTAGCAATTTGGGGTGGCTGTTAATGCTCCCTCTAAGCTGTGGAGTCCAGTGAGCAAAAATTCTACTTTGTGAGCTACCGGCATTCAAGTTGTGAGTGAGCGATTTGGCTGCTGCATAAGTTAGTTTGCTCTGGAGCCCTCCGTCCTGAGCTGAGCCGTAGGCTAAAAAACTGTGAGCTAGCTCACACTAAGTCAGCTTAGAGGGAACACTGGCTACTTCAGTATAAAATGGAATTGTTCCTCCTGAAAGGTTTATGGATTGGTTCATCCTACATTACTGGTTTATCGACTCCCATGTGCACAGAGTGGACGGTTTACTCTTTTGACTCGGGTCTCATTTTCTACTGTGTTGGGAAGTGTGACTTCACAGCTTTATGTCCCGGGAAGTGGGCCTTCTCATCTCTCCTTGGAATAACTTCTCTCATTCCTGCGGCCCTTCTGCGGTGTGTAGCCAAAATTGAGTCTGCAGAGGGGTAACATTACATGGAGCTGACACAGTGGGTTCCAGCTCATAAAAGCTTCCTCCACAATACACCTGCTTGTCTTTCAGGAGCCATGGTGGGTGCTCTTCCTATACTGAGAGCCAGTTTGGTGTAGTGGTTAAGTGCGCGGACTCTAATCTGGGAGAACAGGGTTTGACTCCCCACTCCTCCACTTGCACCTGGCTGGATGACCTTGGGCAAGCCATAGTTCTGATAAGAGCTGTCCTTGAAAAAGAGCAGTTTCTGTCAGAGCTCTCTCAGCCCCGCCTACCTCACCGGGTGTCTGTTGTGGGGAGGGGAAGGGAAAGGAGTTTGTAAGCCGCTCTGAGACTCCTTTGGGTAGTGAAGGGCAGGGTATAAATCCAATCTCTTCTTCTTCTAAAGCGCAGGCCACACGGCTCCCTTTCTGGCATTTATGCTACCTTATTTGCCATTCAGAAAGCTGGTGTGGGGCCCTGACCTGGATAGCCCAGGCAAGCCTGATCTCGGAGGCTGGCAAGTACTTGGAAGGGTGACCTCCAAGGAATACCAGGGCTGGGACGCAGAGGCAGGCTATCAAGCCACCTCTTTGAAACGTCTTAGCCCCGCTACGGCTCACCAGAAGTCACATGACATCCAGGCTCACAAGGACATAGACACACATATACAAAATACCCCCCCCCAAAAAAAAAAGAGAGAGAGAGAGAGAAAGCCAGTGTGGTTAGAATCATAGGCAGAGGGCTGTGTTAAAATCTCCACTGCTGCAAAAACGACTGAGGGTCCTTGGGCCAATCAGTCTCTCAGCCTAATGTACCTCCTAGGGTTATTGTGAGGCTGTGGTAGGGCTATGAGAGCCAGTTTGGTGTAGTGGTTAAGTGCGCGGACTCTAATCTGGGAGAACTGGGTTTGATTCCCCACTCCTCCACTTGCACCTGGCTGGATGGCCTTGGGCAAACCGTAGTTCTGATAAGAGTTGTTCTTGAAAAAGAGCAGTTTCTGTCAGAACTCTCTCAGCCCCGCCTACCTCACAGGGTGTCTGTTGTGGGGAGGGGAAGGGAAAGGAGTTTGTAAGGCGCTCCTTCGGGTAGTGAAGGGCGGAGTATAAATCCAATCTCTTCTCTCTCTGTTCACGCAGCCCAGTGAGCTGCCTAAAGGAAAGAATGGGCAAAACCCGCACATTTTATCACGCTGCTGTTTGGAAAGTTCAAGACTGCAACGTGCAGAGTTTTGAGTCACACATCATTCTTTGTCCTGCACGATGGGAAAATTCAGTTACCTGCACCGAGGAGATGTTTTGCTGGCATCCCTTGGCTGTAATTGTCTGACTCTGGTGTTGATTCCGGTTGTGCTTCCCACAGGCTCCAGGTGGCTTCCAAGTTCATGCCGGTTTCCAGTCTGATTGTGGGTGAGTAACTTTGGTGGCGGCAAAGAGAATGAGCGCTGGGCGATAACAGCGACAGGGCACTTCGAACCAGTGTGGTGCCAAAGCAAAGGTGCAGGAGGAGAGGTGGGATGCGGCGGGGGTGATGAGCACAGAAAAGAGCGATGCGTTTATCGTCCATTCTCTTTTTGGTGGGTGTTATCCCCATAACACGGAGGGAAGGTGGAGAGAGAGAAAGAATGGCTGGCCCCAGGCTGCATGTATACGGGACCGCCTCTCGTGGTATACCCCCAGAAGAGAATTTTGCTCTGGGGGAAGAACCTTCTGGTGATCTCTGGCCCCTGGCCGTCCTCAACCCAAGCCGAGGCCTTTTGGGCCCTGCCGTCAGCCTGGTGGAACTCTGCTCAATGACATCTGTCGCCTGAGGGACCCAGTGCCGTTCCGCAGGGCCTGTAAGACAGAGATGGGGACAGCAACAGTCTGTCATCAAGCCTGGCCTCTTCCTTCTCTCCCCTTCCCACAGGGTAAGGACACAGTTTGGTGCTTTAAGCACCATTGGAAATAGTCGTAGAATTGTCTACTGTTTTAACTGTTTTAAATTCTGTTTTGTAAATGTGAGCCCTACGTATAGGGGAGGACGATCTACAAATCAAATATTTATTTATTTACTTACCTGCTTCATTTATACCCCACCTCTCTACCCTACAGGGACATGAGGCCACTATTGTTGTCCTCTCCGTTTTATCCTCACCACAGCCCTGCGAGGTTGGATTGGGGGCCACCCAGCAAGCTTCCATGACAGGATGGGGGTTCGAACCTGGGTCTTTAGCAATGCTCCCTCTAAGCTGTGGAGCCTTGTGAGCAAACATTCTACTCTGTGAGCCACTGGCATTAAAGATGTGAGCAAGCAGTTTGGCTGCTGCATAAACTAGTTTGCTCTGGAGCCCTCCTTCCTGAGCTAAGACAAAAATGTGTGAGCCGGAGGCTAAAAAACTGTGAGCTAGCTCACACTAACTCAGCTTAGAGGGAACACTGATCTCCAGGATTCCAGCCTGGTGCTCTTAGATTTGCCTAGCAAAGGTCCTGATTTGTGGCTCTGCCACTGTGCCACATGGGCTTTCTCTGAATAGCTTGGAAGCAGCAGTGGATGGGCTGTGCGTGGATGTTGGAAGGGTGGCAGTAAAGGGCAAGATGAGCTGGCTGCCTTGTGTGTATTGCATGCTGGTAAGTTCTGTCCTTGGTATCTAGAGGACCCCTGGTATGAATACTCAGTAGTGGCACATTGGGCTTTTTCACTCAGCACAATAGCGCCCTTGGTCTATCCCAAAAGCAGGGACTGGTACCGCTAGGACAGGTTCAAGTCATGACCAGGAAGTAGAAGGGCAGACAGGAGGCCAACAGAGATCCTGAAGAGGAGATTTCACTGCAGCACTCTTTGGAAATTCGAATGTGGAGCAAAGACTTGAGTGTGAATGCTCCCACAGGTGCCCTTGGGTCCCACTTGCAACGCATCTTTTAGTCTCATGCCAGTAATGTTGGTATTTTTTAATCCACTGCACTCATATTCCTAATTAGATCCATCAAAAGCAAAAAACCCTCTGTTTCCTGCTAGACATTTCTAAAACAGTCTTATTTTTGTCCCTTAATCCCATCCCAAACATAGTTGTCTGTCTACAGCATACACTGTTTGTCTGGCTAAATGGTATAATTGTCCATTAAGAAGCCTATACTAATTAGCTTGTATGAAAATTTTCTTTCAGTGAGTGGCCACAGAGATTTCAAAAGGATCTATATAAATACCTACTGAGAGGACAACTTATCTGTATAGTACAATAAATGCAACTTCATTGAGCTAATGGTCTTTTATTGAAAAAAGGCACAATTTTTATAGTAAAAAATAGATATAAGAGCTAATGAACCCTGTAAATCTTGGAAAACCATATGCATGGAAAATCAGATCTCCTAACATTTCTAAAACATAACTAGAATATTCGAGGCTTAAAGCAAATCAAATGTCAAATGACTGTCTCAGAATGCTTTGGGAGACATTAAAAACCCAATCCCCCCCCCCCATCAAGTCACAGCTGATGCATGGCAACCCTGTAGGGTTTTTAAGGCAAAAGACATTCAGAGACGGTTTGCCATTACCCACGTCTGCGTCGTGACCCTGGGCTTCCTTGGCAGAGTCTCCCATCCAAATACTAGCCAGGGCTGACCCAGCTTAGCTTCTGATGAAGAACATGCAAATAAACCTCATCCAAAAAATCCTCTTCACTGTCCTCCCACAGAAGCCTAACCCGCTCTCCGTGTGACGCTTTTTGTAGGTGACCTGGTAAGTCACCAACTTAGTCTTTATACATTTATTACGTGATGGTTCTCGAAACAATCATGAGGTCATACATGGGTGTCCTCATAAGTCTCATTAATTTCCAGCTGCAAGAGTTAAAAGGCTATATTGAACACTTATTTTATTTAAATAAAAAGCCGTGGTTCTGTTTTTCCTTCGGCTACATTAATTGGCCATCAAAAAGAGATCCTGTATTCTCCCCTGATCAGCTGATGAACTTTCTCCAAAAGTTATTTATTTATTTAGTTTATTTCCGATTTATACCCCGCCTTGCTGGTAAAAACTGGCTCAAGTCAGCTTACATAAGTTAAAATACAATAAAATCAATAAATACCATAAAATTCATAATAAACAATTGCATAAAGTGCTTGTCCAAACAGTGCAAACAGATGGCAGCAGTTTCCTATGCATGATCCAGTAAGAAAAGCCCATCCGACATTATAACAGGGCCGTGGCATGTTCGACTTACGATGGTCAGTGGCAGCTCCTAATCAAAGGCCTGGTGTAAGAGCTCCGTTTTACAGGCCCTGTGGAACTGTAAAAGGTCCCACAGGGCCCTGATGTTCTCCAGGAGTTCATTCCACCAGTGTGGAGCCGCCACTGAAAAAGCCCTGAGAGGTGCAATAAGAACACACGTGCTTAGCATGGTACATCAGGACACCACCCTGATGTGAAGAGGGGCTGTTTCTCAGTGGAAGAGTCTCTGCTTGGCATGCAGAAGGACACCACCCTGATCTTCCCTCCACCTCCGTTTGTTGGCTGACACAGCAACGTCTTCACAGGACGTTGTGTATCGTTTTGGCCCACGAGAGTTAAGAGAGACAGAGTAGACAGCATTCGGCTGGTGGGCCATTGGGTGAGCTTGGTGGGAGGCAGGTCTGTGGCTATATTGCAAAATGGGAGCTGTTCCCAATACTGTTTCCCCTCCCCTGCCTTTCACCCAGTCTCCTGTCTTTTCACCTCTCCTCTGTTCCCTGTCTTCAGGGGTTGACCTGGTTCCCATCAAGCCCATCCCCAACGTGGTCGCCCTGCAGGAAGACATCACCACCGAAAAGTGTCGCCAGGTAATGGGTCTTTTTCTAGGACTACCTGCAGTTGCCTCCATGCTTGAGGGACGGCTCTCCGCCTCACCCGTGCCTGCCACAGGCTCGGTATCTTTTCTCTCCCCAATTCCTCCCCGGACCACTCTGCTGTGGGTGCCGAAATTTTCTTGGCCCCCGGGTGGCATGGGCTCTGTCGGATGGAGGGAAAGTGGCGGCCCACGCTCAAGGTGCGTCTCTTTCACTTCTCCGTAGGCCCTGCGCAAAGAGTTGAAGACGTGGAAAGTGGACGTGGTGCTGAACGACGGGGCCCCCAACGTGGGAGCCAGCTGGGTGCATGATGCCTTCTCACAAGGTACGGGACCGGAGGTCCATCCCACGTGAGGCATACGGGGGTGTGGTATACGGAAGGGGTGGTTTTTCTAGCTGATGCTGGACAATTCGTGTGAACTGCACCACAGAGTTTCACCCGTATTTTCATTTCTGGCTTGCTGGATCACCCCCCCCCCCCGCAAAACGCTAAACAAACGTGCAGCTCTTAGCCTACAGGTGATAACAAGAAGGGGGCCCATGAGGACACCGGGGGGGGGGGATATCACAACTTCATCAGCTCCCACTTCTCCTACTCTGACTCTGGGTCTGATTCTTTCTTTCCCAGTTTTCCACTGTTCACCACCCATCCAGTCTCCCAGTTTCCTCCCCCAGAGCTGATTAACCACTTCCCAGACACACATATTTCCGCACTCTTGGAGTTTTTAACTTTAAAGTATATATATTTAGATTTTTGTACTTTGCTTTTCTCTCAAGTGGGGGACCCAAAGCAGCTTGCAAGCACTGTTTCCCCCCTCCTCTGTCCTTTCCTCACAACAGCAACCCTGTGGGGAAGGCTGAGAGAGAGTGACTGGCCCAAGGTCCCCCAGCAAGCTTCTGTGGCAGAGCGGGGATTCGAACTGGGGGCTACCAGATCTAGGGTTGCCAGCCCCATGTTGGAAAATACCTGGAGATTTTGGGGGTGGAGCCTGGGGAGGGCGGGGTTTGGGGAAGGGAGGGACTTCAGCGGGGTACAAGGCCATACAGTCCACCTTCCAAAGTGGCCATTTTCTGCAGATGAACGATCTCTGAGTTGGTGTAGTGGTTAAGTGCGCGGACTCTAATCTGGGTGAACTGGGTTTAATTCCCCACTCCTCCACTTGCACCTGGCTGGATGACCTTGGGCAAGCCATAGTTCTGATAAGAGCTGTTCTCTCAAGGACAGTTCTGGAAAGAGCTCTCCACCCCACCTACCTCACAGGCAATGCTCCCTGTAAGCTGTGGAGTCTTGTGAGCAAAACTTCTACTTTGTGAGCTACTGGCATTAAAGTCGTGAGCGAGCGATTTGGCTCCTGCATAAATCAGTTTGCTCTGGAGCCCTCCTTCCTGAGCTAGGACAAAAATGTGTGAGCTGGAGGCTAAAAAACTAAGCCAGCTCACACTAACTCATCTTAGAGGGAACATTGCTCACAGGGTGTCTGTTGTGGGGAGGGGAAGGAAAAGGAGTTTGTAAGCTGCTCTGAAACTCTGAGTGAAGGACGGGGTATAAATCCAATCTCCTCTTCTTCTATTGCCTGGAGATCAGTTGCAATCCTGTGAGGTCTCCAGATATCAGCAGGAGGTTGGCAACCCTAACCCAATCCTAGTCTGACCCTCAGAGTAATACAGCACATGGGCTCTTGCATGTTATTTCTTACTTTGTGAGGGATTAACTCTCAATTTCTATTTTTCTCCAAGTTTGCCGAGTTTGGGGGAAAATATAATCATTCCCTGTTTGCTGAAACACATATACTAGGCCTGAGTACTCCCCTTTTTGTGGATTTTTTAAACCAATGTGTTAGGAAGCCACCCATCACTTCTAGAGGACAGTGCATGGCACTACGCTTAGGACCTTTCCATGAAATAACGGTGCTTAGCGCTAACATGTCACTTTCAGGTGTTCAAAGCACTTCACATCACCATTCTGTAAGCATTACAACAACCCTTTGCGGTAGGGCAGCCTTATTATTGTAGATGAGGAGGATCTGCTTGCTTAAGGCCGCCTAGTGAGTTCAAAACACCCGGTTTTGTGCAGACAGAAAGCGCTGAACAGGTACTCTATAGCTGGGGTCACACACACTAAATAATCCACTTTCGATCCACTTTCCAACTGGGTACTGCCAGTTCACACAGTAAAATCCAGGTGGAAAGTGCACTGAAAGTGTGTGTGACCACAGCTTGTTGTGTGTGTGCGTAACAAAGCAATCCTGGAGGGTTTTTTTGTCATCTGGACGTGGAACAGTGGTCACCGCGGGTATGGAGGGGGAGGTATTTGTGAATTTCCTGCATTGTACAGGGGCTTGGACTAGATGACCCTGGAGGTCCCTTCCAATGCTATGATTCTAAGAGTGGCTTGCAAGGAACTGTGGGCCAGCAGCCCCGGCTGACTGTCCCTTGGCATCTGCTCACTCTCCCTGCTCCTCTGCTCTGCTCTGCTCCCTGCAGCCAGCCTTACCTTGTCTGCCCTCAAACTGGCCTGCGACTTCCTGTCCAAGGGCGGCTGGTTCATCACCAAGGTGTTCCGTTCCCGGGACTACCAGCCCCTCCTGTGGATCTTCCAGCAGCTCTTCCACAAGGTGCAGGCCACGAAGCCCCAGGCCTCGCGCAACGAGTCAGCGGAAATCTTCGTGGTCTGCCAGGGTGAGTTTGGTGGGAAGGGTCGAGGGTGGGTTTGTGTGTGAACGGATTGGGTGCAGAAGAAGGCGGGTTCGGGGGTGAGCAGGAGGCTGGCTGTTACTGGCAACCCCTGAACTTGGGGGAGGAATGCAATGGACAAACTGGGGGCTTAAGATCTGGGGAATGGATTAGAGATTGCTTGCAGTACCAGACTCGCTGCCATAATATGACGTGAAAATGTTATTTGTTCCTTTGTAGTCCACCTTATGCTGAAACTCAAGGTGGATTACAAAAAATTCCATTCCAAATTCTTTGCTTTGAGATGGAAAATACTAAAGATTCCCACCCACGCCTTGCAGGGGTGTTTAATGATTAAAATGGCAAAGTTAACAAAGTTTGAGTCCAGTGGCCCCTTTAAGACCACCAAAGTTTTATTCACGGTGTGAGCTTTCGTGTGCAAGGCACACTTCCTCAGATACCTTAATATTCCTGACTTTGTTATTTCTTTATCTTCCATTTGCTGACTGACTGGGGGAGGGGAGCATATCCCAATCGCATCCCATCTGGGCCCTGATAAAGGATTATGCTTGTTTAACGTCAGTAGGGCAACATCTGATGCTCGGAAACCCCTTTCATGCTAAAAAAGACATCTAAAGTTTCCTCAAGATGTTGACTGGAAGCATTGGGAGAACTAATTGAATTTTAAAAACCCATTAGTTAGTTGTTAGAAAGAGTTAGTTAGCCCTGGTTAGTACTAGGGGCCACAGTGGCTCAGAGTTTAAGACACCGAGCTGCAGACTGGAAGGTCGGTAGCTTGGCAGTTCGAGACCCTAGCGCCGTGTAACAGAGTGAGCTCCCGTCTCTGGCCCTAGCTCCCACCAGCCTAGCATTTCGAAAGCAAGAAATTGCAAGTAGATAAATAGCTGCCACTTCAGTGGGAAGGTAACAGCGTTCCATGCGCCTCAGCATTTACTAATGCCGGCCACATGACCACGGAGAAGTCTTCGGACAGCGCTGGCTCTTCGGCTTGGAAACGGAGATGAGCACCGCCCCCTAGAGTCGAACAAGGGAAACCTTTAGTTTTTAGTACTAGTCCTGAATGGTCTCAATTTCTCGTGTGCCTCAGCTGGTCTTGCTGTTAATGACCTTCTTCTCTTCATCCTCCGTAGGCTACTTAGCCCCAGAAAAAATCGACGGCAAGTTCTTTGACCCCAAGTTTGCTTTCAAGGAAGTGGAGGTCCAGGCCAAGTCTGTGAGTGAGCTGGTCTCACAGAAAAAGCCCAAGGTCAGTGCGCGAGGACATTTTGCAGAGAGACAGTGTGGTGCAGTGGTTAGTGTGTTGGGACTAGGATCTGGGAGACCCCGGTTCAATCCCGCACAAGGCCAAGAAGCGCATCGAGTGACCCTGCGTTCCTCAGCAGATGCACACAAAATCAGATCTTTACACCATGGCCGAAGTGCCCTCTCACCCTTCTGTCTTCTAAAATGTTATGAATACAGCCTGAGAAAAAGTTCTGGTGAATTTGAAAGCTTGTGCAATGTTTTTTGCAAAATACAAAAGCAAGTCCATGTAACAAAACACAAAAGCAAGTCCATGTAACACCTTTTATTATCATCCCCACCGGACCCTGCCCACTTTCTAAAAGTACTTGACAAGTGCCAGGAAAGGTGTTGGTGGGTGCCGTAGCACCTGTGGGCACCACATTGGGGACCCCAATGTTAGATAGTTGACTTTAGACGAGCAGAATAAAGGTTTCTCATATATGGAGACTTAGACACAGACGCCAGAAGACAAACGTTTTCAAAAGGAACATTCTGCTCTGGTTGTGGCGGCAAAAAAGACTGCAAGATTTCTCAAATGTCCAGTTCTGTTTGTCTGGTTTAGAACCAGGGGTCATTTCCTGCAGGAGCGAACAGGAGCGGAGCTCCTGCAGTAAAGAGCCCAGGGAGCGGGCACATGCAACAAGCCCCACCCCCTGCTCTCAGCAGCCCTCAGTCAGAGCAAGAAGCAGCCAGGTAAGCTGCAGAGCCCCCCCCCCTGGCCCCCCGGTCCAAAACAGTGGCACCTTTAAGACCAAGTTTTATTCAGGTACAAGCTCTCCCTCCTCTGTAAATGCAGATCTGCACGCCCCCCCCAAAAAAAGCTAGCAATCCAAAACAGTCCAGTGGAGCCTAAGCGGTGGGTGTTGCCTTCTGACACACTTCCGGTGATGTCAGGAAGTGTGGCATATGCAAATAAGCTATGCTAATGAGTTATGCTAATGAGCTCCTGCACCTCTTTTTCTACGAAATGACCCCTGTTTAGAACCATTGTCGTATAGTGGTTAGAGAGACAGAATAAGATCCGGGATATTCACTACCTTGGGCCACTCTCTCTCTCTCCCCCTCCCTACCTAACCTAGTTCACAAGGTGGGTCTTGTGAGGATAAAACTGAGGAGGAGAGTAGCGCACTGGGTGCTTTTGGGTCCGGTCAGTCTCTTAGCCTAAGCTACCAGAAGGGAAAATCAGGTACTCTTTTCTGAGCTCTTTTGAGGCTAACAGCATACCCAGTAGGTTAATAAGATGTTTTAAGAAATAAAACAAGTTTTCTTAAAAATAGGTCCTCTAACCATCGGGGCCTTGGAAGCAGTTTCGAACTAGCGACGTGAAAGGGATGAGGAGCTGTAAATGGAGGCGGGGTGTCTTCAGGGCAGGTGTGGTGCAGTGGTTAGAGTGCTGGGCTAGGGCTTGTGACAGTTGGGTTTGAATCCCTCCCTCAGGAAAGGAGATTCTTCTTCTTCGGCCATGGAAGCCTGCCAGGTGACCTTGGGCCCATCACAGTCTCTCAGTCTGACCTACCTTTGCAAGGTTGTTGCCGTGAGGATTTAAGTGAAGGAGGGGGAGACAGTGTGAAAATTGGCTTTGGGTTCCCAATCAGGGAGAAAAGCAGGACATAGGTAAAAAAAACAAAAAACCACCTTGTGATTTCTGTCAGCTTCCCTCAATATTTTCTGGTTGTGTTTTTGGCCTGCAACTTCAAAGATCTGAATCTTGTTCTTAAGAAACCAGCAGCATGGGGTAGGCCGGAGGACATGGCTCAATGCTACGCTTAGCTTCTTCCTCACTGTGTCTGTCTTCCCTTCAAACAGGCGGAGGGCTACGAAGACGGCGCTACGGTCCTCTACAACCGCTGCACACTGACAGACTTTCTCAAGGCCCCCAACCCTGTGGACTTCTTGTCCAAGGCCAGCGAGGTGAGGGCAGGGCAGTGGTGGCGGAAGGGGTTCCATGACCGAGGGCTGAGCTTTGGAAGTTGCTGGCTTGTCAAGACGGCAGCAGTGTTAGTCATGGGATAGCTTGGATGGCGGTGAAGCCGCGTGGATGGACAGAGGGATCAGACCGTTTTCTCTGCTCTCCTCCCTGCCTAGATCGTCATAGACAGTGAAGAGCTACGGCGCCACAGCGCGACTACCGAGGAGGTGTGCCACTGTTGCCAGGACATCCGTGTTCTAGGCCGCAAAGAGCTCCGGTATGGGTCTGATTTCAGCCTTTCGCTGTGTATGGTGCGACACCGGATTGCGCCAGTGATCTACCTCGCTTAGGGTTCCTCAGCGTGGTGCCCGTGGCTGCCACCATTTCTGGCACCCGCCAAGTGTTTTTGGAAGTGGGTAGGGCCAGGTAGGGCTTCCGCCCAGTGTGGCTTCAGCTTGGGTATTGGAGATTTGATTAGCTGTGCAGATTTTTAAAAATGTTGCTTTGGCGGCAGCCGCCGCCGCAGCACAAGGATCTGCACTGTGTGACTGTAGCTAAGCTGTGGCAATCGTTTCGTGGCCGGTTCTGCTTCCTGCGGCAGCCATTTTGTTGCTGCACTCACCACGCCATGGCAAAGCTCCAAATGTTCCTGCAGGTGCAAAAAGGTTGGGGGGCCCTGACCTAGCTCATCATTTTCTCTCCCTGGGTAACCAGTTAGATGCCACAAACTCATTACAGTTGGCTCTGACTTGCCATAGTTCTCCAAGGAGGGAAGGTCGTTTCTGGCCCTGCTATTGAGTTCCTTTCAACAGGAGACAGCAGAGGTTGAATCCAGGACCTTCTGCTGATAAAGCAGGTGCTCTAAGCTTGGAGCTGCAGGCTTCTTTTTGGCAGTAGCTTTTCTTGGCCCAAGATTTTTAATATTGTTTTTATTTAGCTCCGAGCGCACGCAGCTCTGCCTGCAACCATGTGCATTTCATGCTTTAAAAAGCAAACAAGCATCAAAACACTGCACCAGGTACAGTTGTGACCTGCATCAGTTCTGTAAATCCATCAGTCATCTGTAGGTTCTCTTAGTAGCTAACGCTGTTGGCAATTTAGTTCTGATGCTGAACTTTATTTTTGCTGGTGGGCATTCGGCATGCAATGTAGAAAGATGCAGCGGAGAGAAAAAGCTCTGCTGTGTAGTCTCTAATAAAGCAGAGCATATATTTTGGATAGGATGAATACAAATCAGCATACTATCTCAAGAGGCATCCATTTTTGGAAAAGAAATGGACATTCGCAGATGCTGCTGTGGAATAGATGAGAGAGAGTGTAATTTACAAAATTACATGCTCATGGAAGTATGGAGGAAAGTGTGTTCTCTTTGTTTGGTTTTTCCCCCTTAAGGGAATTTAGGTACAGATTGTTTCTGGTGTTCTGATTCCAGACATAAGGGTTTCTTTTTTAGAAGTACCACACTGTCACACTGAATAATAGAAACCCAGTCTTCCTAGCATTCTGCGAGCCAGTGTAACAGGTTTTAACAGCATGCTGTAAATAGATGGCAACCCCTGGGAAACGTGGCTATATTATTTTTGTTATCCTGGCTAGTTTGTGGGAGGAAGCCGTGGGTGAGCTAATACCCGTTGTTGGCACTGCTGGGCAGACTGGCCCCAGCAGCAACTGCCTTGTTGCTAAGTTGCTAAGCAACTGCTTGGTACTAAGTAACACTCAAGATCTGGTGAGAGATGTAAAAGTGATTGCACCGCTTGGGAACAGTGATCATAATGTTGTTGAGTTCAACATTTGTATAAATAGAGAATTGGCCAAAAAGATTAACACAACCACTTTTAACTTTAAAAGGGGTAACTTCTCTGATATGAGAGGACATGTGGGGAGGAAACTGAAAGGAAAAGTAGAAAGGGTCAAAACCATTGGGGAAGCTTGGAAACTATTTAAAACTACGATCCTAGAAGCTCAAAAAATATATATTCCGCAGGTTAGGAAAGGCACAAACAGGTATAGGAAAAAGCCTGCATGGTTAACAAACAGAGTAATGGAGGCTGTAAAAAGTAAAAAGAATTCCTTTAAGCAGTGGAAAGCTAGTCACAGTGAGGCTGATAAAACGGAACACAGGCTATGGCAAATAAAATGCAAGTCTGAGGTCAGGCAGGCAAAAAGGGAATATGAGGAGCATATAGCAAAAAACGTAAAAACCAACAATAAAACTTTCTTCAAATACATTAGAAACAGGAAACCAGCCAGGGAGGCAGTGGGGCCCTTGGACGACCAAGGGGTAAAAGGAGTATTGAAGGATGATAGGGAAATGGCTGAGAAGCTAAATGCATTTTTTGCCTCCGTCTTCACTGTGGAAGATGAGAAGTGCTTGCCCACTCCAGAACCACTGATTTCAGGAGGGGTGTTGGAAGACCTGAGTCAGATTGAGGTGATGAGAGAGGAGGTCCTAAAACTGATAGACAACTTAAAAACTGAAAAATCACCAGGCCCAGATGGCATACATCCGAGAGTTCTGAAAGAACTCAAATGTGAACTTGTAGATCTCCTGACAAAGATATGTAATCTTTCCTTAAAATCTGCCTCCATTCCTGAGGATTGGAAGGTAGCTAATGTCACTCCCATCTTTAAAAAGGGTTCCAGAGGAGATCCGGGAAATTACAGGCCAGTCAGTCTGACGTCGATACCGGGTAAATTGGTGGAAACCATTATTAAGGAAAGAATTAGTAGGCACATAGATGAACAAAACCTATTGAGGCAGACTCAACATGGGTTCTGTAAGGGAAGATCTTGTCTCACTAACCTGTTAGTGTTCTTTGAGGGGGTGAACAAACATGTGGACAAGGGGGATCCAATAGATATTATTTACCTTGACTTCCAGAAAGCTTTTGATAAAGTTCCTCATCAAAGGCTCCTAAGTAAGCTCAAAAATCATGGGATAGAAGGACAAGTTCTTTTATGGATCAAAAACTGGCTAGTTCATAGAAAACAGAGAGTGAGTGTAGGTGGGCAATTTTCTCAGTGGAGGGTGGTAAGCAGTGGGGTACCGCAGGGATCAGTACTTGGTCCACTGCTTTTTAACTTGTTCATTAATGATTTGGAGATGGGAGTAAGCAGTGAAGTGGCTAAATTTGCGGATGATACAAAGTTGTTCGGGGTGGTGAAAACCAGTGAGGATTGTGAGGCACTCCAAGGGGATCTGTCAAGGATGGGCGAGTGGGCGTCAACATGGCAAATGGGGTTCAATGTGGCCAAGTGCAAGGTGATGCACATTGGAGCCAAAAATCCTAAATATAAATACACGTTGATGGGGTCTGAACTGGCAGAGACTGATCAAGAGAGAGATCTTGGAGTTGTAGTAGATAACTCACTGAAGATGTCGAGACAGTGTGTGACTGCAATAAAGAAGGCCAATGCTATGCTGGGGATTATTAGGAAGGGTATTGTAAACAGATCAGCCAATATCATAATGCCGCTATATAAATCAATGGTGCGACCTCATTTGGAATACTGTGTGCAGTTCTGGTCACCAAACCTTAAAAAGGATATTATAGCTTTGGAAAAAGTGCAGAAAAGGGCAACTGGAATGATAAAAGGGTTGGAACACTTTCTCTATGAGGAAAGGTTAAAGCGCTTAGGGCTTTTTAGCTTGGAGAAACTACGACTGAGGGGTGACATGATTGAGGTTTATAAGATTATGCATGGGATAGAGCAGGTAGAGAAAGAGGTACTTTTCTCCCTTTCTCACAATACAAGAACTCGTGGGCACTCCATGAAATTGCTGAGCGGTTGGGTTAGAACGGGTAAAAGGAAGTACTTCTTCACCCAAAGAGTGATTAACACATGGAATTCACTGCCACAGGAAGTGGTGGCGGCTACAAGCATGGACGGCTTCAAAAGGGAATTAGATAAGCATATGGAGCAGAGGTCCATCAGTGGCTATTAGCCACAAGTTATAGCTAGGGGCTCTGGGGCAAGTGATGCTCTGTCATCTTGGTGCTTGGGGGGGGGTCAACAGTGGGAGGGCTTCTAATGTCCTGGCCCCACTGGTGGACCTCCTGATGGCACCTGGTATTTCTGGCCACTGTGTGATACAGAGTGTTGGACTGGATGGGCCTTTGGCCTGATCCAACACTCTTATGTTCTTATGTTGCTCCACAGGGGTCCACTCAGCTTGGGTTGTGTTGCAGGCAGTGGCTAGAAAGGGTCTCCAGTGGCTGCCACCACTCTGGTGTGGGTCTCCTCGGGAGGGCCCAGAGCACCCACCTTGCCCCTTTATACACTCCTTCTCCAGTAGGTTTCCCCTTATAAGTGACAGAGTTAGGTGTGAGGACCCTGGCAGGGTAACGAATGATTTTTATTAAAGAGATTTAACAATAGCTGTGATTCAATAATGTGTAGGAAAAGTGAGCACAGTAAAGGTAGGTAAACCAGCAAAATAAGAAATCCTAAAATGTTTAGTCTGACTATACGGTACGTAGCCTTCTCTAGGAATTTGGCCTCAAGCTGACTCACCCCCTTTGGATGAGGGATCCCTCCATCTGCAGCAGCTTCACACTAGCTCTGCTTCCTGGGAGTGAACCTCCTCCCACTTTGGGCAAAGCTTTTTACCTGTTCTACCCAGGCAACACCGTTTACCATTCTACTGGTGTAGGTTTTTCCTCCAAATCCCGTTAGCCAATCACAAGGTCCAAAGGAGAGCTGGGAAATGTAGGCCCTGAGAGCTACTCTAGTACAGGCTTCCCTGGAACCATTAGGCCTCCCTAGGGCTACTATAGGCTTAGGATCATGACAGGTTGCTTCAGAGCAGTTCTCGCTTCCCATTCCTCAGTCTTAAGAACCTGTTTGTTGGTTTTGTTTTTAAAATGTGGATTCTGCAGACAATCTTTTGGTCTTTCCCCCTACATATACAGGGATGGAGACCCTGGAAGGTGCCTGTATGTGTCTCATCGCCAGCCCTGGTGTGACAAACTAGTGGCAGCCTCGTGGTCGCTGTCCACTGATGGCAGGACTCAGTGCCTCTTTCATGCCTCAGTTCCTGCCCCCAGAGTCTGCTTGGGTGGGGAGAGGAAACAAGCAGAGTCTAACTGTCCTCTTTCCTTCTCAGGGCTCTGTTGAATTGGAGGGCAAATCTCAGGCGATTCCTTGCCAAGAAGTTGAAAGAACAAGCCAAGGAAATGAATATCGAGTAAGAGGGACGAGGCTCTACCTTGGGCGTTTTCTTTGTGGGGGTGGCCAGCCCAGCGGTGAGATTGTCAGACCAGGATCTGGCCCGTAGCCAGGATTTTGTGGCTTGTGGGGCAGGGTTTTTTTCTCGTGGCACTGAAGTTCTCAGTGCAGAAAGAAAAGCCATTTAGCCAATAGAACGCTGTCACCGGGATAGATCTCTAAATTGCAAGCTGTCAACCACTTTAGATGACAGTTCTCAGCTGCTGCAAGTTAATCACTTCTGCCAGCCTAAGCAACAATTCTGCAAACAAACCGACAGGTGGGGTTGATGACTTCTATAGTCAAGAAAGCTAACTCTTAGGCAGTAAAACTCTTAAAGGAGATAGTTTTTTGACATGGAGTTAGAAGGTATCCTAGAGGTCACCTACTCCAACCCCCTTGCTCAGTGCGGGAATTAGTCAGCTACAGCACCCCACTCTGCTTAAAGAAGCACAAGTATTTTTAAAAAATGTTAAGAAATGATTGAAAAAAGCATTTACAGGTGAAATTCTTGTGGGGCTGTGCCTTTAAGAAAGGGTGCTGAACCCCCAAAAGCCCCGTCATAGCTATGGGCCTGACTAGGACCTGGGAGAGCTAGGTTTGTATCCCCAGTCTGATGGACAAGCTTGAAGGATGGCTGTGGGCCAGTCGCTTGCTTTCAGCCTGATCTACCTCACAGGGTTGTTGTGAAATGGAGGAGAGGAGAACAACGTAAGCTGCCTTGGATCCCCATTGCAGGGTACAAGTATCTAAGGTGAAACAGGCACATTCGAAGCTGCCTTTGGATGAGTCGGACAGGGCATCTAGCCCAGTTTCTCCTCTTCTCCTGCCCTTCCTCCAGGGAACTCAGGGCAGTGAATATGACCTCCCCCTCCCTTTTATCCTCACAATGACTTTGCAAGGTAGGTGAAGCCCAAGAGAGAGTGCTTACCTTAGGCAAGGTTCGTGGCAGTGTGGAGATTTGAACCCACGTCTCTCCAGTCGTAGTCTGACACTCTAACCGCTGCACTATATTGGCTCTGTACTGTTGACTGGCAGTAGCTTTGCAAGGTCTTAGGTGCGGATCTGCTGCTACCCAAGTTCCTTGAGCTGGAAATTCCCTCTAAGTGGAAAGCACGCTCTCTGCTGCTGGGCGACGGCCCCCTCCCCAGAGCCATTGGTGAGGAGGGAGAGGAAACTACCCGGATCTCCAAGATCTCTTTTCCCCATTGTCAGCTTGAGCTCCGGCGAAGAAGAGGAAGTGACCCAGTCTGGGCGAGCAGCTCCAGAGCCGCAGGGTGCCGTTGAGGAGCAAGAAGAGAAAGCGGAGGAGGAGCAACTGGAGATGCAGCTGGCCGAACTCAAGGCTCAGGAGATGTCCGAACTCAAGCGGTAAGTTCGGGAGGAGACCGGAGGGGAGGTTTGCAGCCCGCCTCCTCCATTTGGACCTAGCGACAAAGAGCTGCAGTGAGAAAGAGGGTAAAGGAGAGTTTTACACGAGGACATCCAAGGTGCTTTATGGGGCATATTTTACCCGTGTTAGTAGAGACCTAATATTAGACTTTGTAAATTGACCACAAAACATGTGGAATTCACTGCCGCAGGAAGTGGTGGCAGCTACAAGCACAGACAGCCTCAGGAGGGGATTGGAGAAACATGGAGCAGAGGTCCATCAGTGGCTCTTAGCCACAAGGTGTAGACGGAACACCCTGTCTGGGGCAGTGATGCTCTGTATTCTTGGTGCTTGGGGGGCAAGAGTGGGAGGGCTTCTGGAGTTCTGGCCCTGCTGGTGGACCTCCTGATGGCCTCTGGGTTTTGGCCACTGTGTGACACAGCATGTTGGACTGGATGGGCCATTGGCCTGATCCAACATGGCTTCTGTTATGTTCCTATGAATGCTCAAGAATGGGCTTGTATTTGAGAGCCAGTTTGGTGTAGTGGTTAAGTGCGCGGACTCTAATCTGGGAGAACCGGGTTTGATTCCCCACTCCTCCCCTTGCACCTGGCTGGATGACCTTAGGCAAGCCATAGTTCTGTCAGAGCTGTTCTTGAAAAAGAGCAGTTTCTGTCAAGAGCTCTCTCAGCCCCACCTACCGCACAGGGTGTCTGTTGTGGGGAGGGGAAGGGAAAGGAGTTTGTAAGCCGCTCTGAGACTCCTTTGGGTAGTGAAGGGCGGGGTGTAAATCCAATCTCCTCCTCCTCCTCTTCCTCTTCCTCTTCTTCTTCTTCTGCAAGGATTGCGGAGAAATCCTTTTAGCCCTTTTGAAGGACTCTCTTTCTCAGGGCTACTTTCTTGGGGTGCAGGAGAAGCAAAAGCCTCTCTGAGAATGTCTTTCCACGTGGCTTTGGGGAGGAGAGTAATGAGCCTGTTAGAGGTCCTGACAGTTTTCTCTAAGACCTAGAATCTTGACACATAAAAGATACAGCACCATCTATTGTGGGAGCCTGCATGTTGAAGACATAACGACTTCCATGCATGTTTGGTTTTTTTTCAGGTCAGTGGTTCTCCAGCTTTTGGAAGTGAGGACCCATTTCTAAGCTTAATTCAGGGCTCTTTTTGTAGCAGGAACTCCTTTGCATATTAGGGGACACCGAGAGCTTACAGAGCTCTTCTTACAGGGGCTACTGTAAGCTCTTGGAGGATTGGCTACATTAGGGGTGTGTCGCCTAATATGCAAAGATGCTCCTGCTACAAAAAGAGCCCTTCTAAGCTTTACTGCACTTGCGAAGGAACACCCTGCAGAAGTTCCCTCCTCCTCCTCAATATAGCACGCAGGAATCTGAGATCTGCTAACAAGGAACTAGTTGATATTCTGTTTTTCACAACTTGTCTTTCTCAATAATATAGTGCTACTTGGCAACTGACTTGTACACCTGGGCCATTTTGCATCTTGTGCAGAAGCAAACCCAAATTTGACGTTGACCTTCCTCCCAAGCTTCCCCTGCTTCCCCAGCAATGCCTTGCAAATCACGTGTGAGGGAGTCACGCTGCACTTTGGGTTCCTGAACCCCTGTTTTAACACAAGGTGGCAGCAGGGGCTGCAATATAAAGGGGAAGAGAGAGATCCAGCAGTCCTCCTAGTTTGGCATAGTGGTTAAGTGCCAGTTTGGTGTAGTGGTTAAGTGCGCGGATTCTAATCTGGGAGAACCGGGTTTGATTCCCCACTCCTCCCCTTGCACCTGGCTGGATGACCTTGGGCAAGCCATAGTTCTGTCAGAGCTGTTCTTGAAAAAGAGCCGTTTCTGTCAGAGCTCTCTCAGCCCCACCCACCTCACAGGGTGTCTGTTGTGGGGAGGGGAAAGGGAAGGAGATAGTAAGCTGTTCTGAGACTCCTTTGGGTAGTGGAGGGGTATAAATCCAATCTCCTCCTCCCCCCCCCCCACCGGGGAAAACTATCTTCTGCCTTAGGACATCTGCTCCCTATGGGATCTGTTACCGTTCTGTAGGGCTTGCAGAGGCAGAGATGTTCCGCCAGGCATTTGGTTGAGGACAGCGACAACCTGGCACTCTCACACCCCGCCCCCCTCCCTCTTTTCTGTATTTTACTTAACCCAGGGGGGCAAGCGGGTATTAGACATTTATCTCCATCATGGATTGTGCTGTTTTACTGTGGTGGTCAAATTCTTAATGCTGTTTTAAGTTTAGTATTATTGTATTTTATTGATGTATGCCGCCCTGAGTCCTGCTTGGTGGGAAGGGAGGCCTAACAGGCCTAATTTAATTTAAAAATAAATAATCACCTATCGGAGTGGTCGAACAGCCTGGGCTGCGGGGGGGGGGGCTTATCAGACCTGTCTGCTGTGACCCTGCCTTTTTCCTCCCCTCCCCAGGAAGAAACGCAAAATCCTACGTGAACGCCGACGTCAGCGAGAGCGCATCGAGCTCAAGATGGACCTTCCGGGTGTTTCTGTTGCAGATGATGGCGATACGGGGATGTTCTCCCTCCGGGCCATTGGGAAAAGTCAGGTGAGGACAGGGGGAGCCGGCCGCAAATGTGTGTTTGGATGGTGGGCGGGGGGCTGCAAATACAATCCCCAGAAGGAAACCCCAAGGAACATGTCGCACTTTCCTGTCACACATGCACACCACCTTTTTTTTTTCATCCCAGCTGCTCCATGAGGTGGTCCAGGGTGATATGGCAGCAGCGGACTCCTTTGTGGCGACCACAACAGGCCGAGACGACCTGTCCCTCTCGGAGGGGGAAGAATCCGGCGATGACGTCTCTCTAGCCAGCGAGCTGGATGACGAGGAACTGGCTGAGGTCGAAGAGCGGGCGAGCAAGCTGAAGTCAGCTCGTGTCCCCGTGAGGTGCGTGAGACAAGGGGAGACAGACGTGAGGCGCAGTAATTGCTGCTGGTGTGGCGAACTTGAGGGAAATATACTGATCACGCAAGAAGAGGGGAGGACCATACAAACACTGCATCGATTCCTATTATCCACCCAAGCTTGTCTTGGGTGCCTGGGAAGAAAAGTCCCATAAAGGAAGTGTTTTTCCCCCTCCCCCTCTTCTTCTTCTTCCTCTCTCTCTCTCTCTCTCTTTCTTTCTTTCTCTTCCTTCCTTTCTTTTTTCTTTCTTCCTCTCCCCTCCCCTC